GTCCACCCAGCAGCCAGGCGGACCCCATGCCTTGCACTGAGACACCACAAGCTCCGCTGGCTGGAGAACTCGAACTCGGGCAAAGGTCTGGTGGCGGAGTGGACGCACAGGCCAGGGTGACTCCGCCTCGGCCGCCTTGTTCCTTGTCCTGTCCAGGGCTGACATTGTCCCAGGCATCACATCCTTGGCCTCTCTTCCCCCACCCAGGTGTGACAACCACAAATGTCTCCAGACACTGCTGAGTGTCCCCGGTGAGACAAAGTCACCCCAGTGCAGAGCGCTGTCCTCAGAGACGGCGCGTCACAGCAGGTCGGGGACACACTCCGGTCCGTCCCAGGGTCGAGGCCGTGCCACCGGGGTGGGGACACGGCTGCAGGATCACGGGCCCCGGGAGGAGGCGTCTTAAGCAGCGCCTGGGACAGTCCTGATCTGAGGGACGTCCCCCCCCCCGCGACACCTCGTCAGCCACAAAAGCCGGGGACGTGGTCCTCTGAACATGGGGTGGCGAGGGTCACCTGCCCTCGACCGTGGACACTTGGGATGGACGCCGTCCTGTGCATGCAGGGCCAGCAGTGTCCCGTGATTGTGGGAGGGAGGGGACGGACGGGGCGGCTGGACCGCGGTGGAACTGCACGTGGCCCGGTGACACCTGCTACGTGGCCAGCGCCCCAGGAGGCCGGGGAGACACGGGGAAGGCGCTCGTCAGCCGTGGCTGCAGGAGAGAATTTGTCACTCACCACCGCCTGTCCCTGTCAGATCTGCCAGGGACACAGGAATGTCACACGTGCTTTTCAATTTGTGTTCAAATCCCGGCCCGGCCACCCAGCAGCTGGGCACTTTGGGAAGTGACTTCTGCGCACCTCGGTGGCCCCGTCTGTGACACGGGGTCATCCTCTGGCTGCCCCACAGCGAGAACGACACAGCGACACCAGGAGAGGTGGCCGGAGCGGGGACGAACGGGAGGTGGCGATGGAGGAGGGACGGGGAGGACAAATGACCTGAGGGTCTGTGACAACTGCCCGCTCTTGTCCACGGGGACGGGGACGGGGGTTCAGGGTGGTTAACCCTTGGGGACCCAGTTCTGTGTCACCAGCTCCACCACACAACAGGCAGGTGACCTTGGATGGCCACCAGGGCTGGCCGGTCACAGGACGGGCCTTAAGGTCGGCGGCCAGGGTGTTCGGGGTCTTGTGTCCCTGTGTGGCCACTGACTTGCCGGTCAGACTGTCTGCTGCTGTGACAAACGGCCTGGAGGACCCGTCCACTGTCGCTGGGCACTCGGTGTGGACAAAGGGATAATTCTCCTTTGTGACCTCATCCCCCGCGGTCCTGAGTCCTGTGCCACCTCCCCTGTGACCTGGCAACGTCTCTTCCCGCCCGTGTGACTAGACGCCAGCGTGCCTCAGTGTCCCCCACCCTAAACCCTCTGCACCCTGACCTCTAATTTCATCTGGAAAAGCAAAAGGGTTTTTTGATCACTAGCCAGGGCGTGTGGTCAGCTTTTCCCTGGAGTCCACGGACACCGTTCCTAAAACTGTCCCCGACACCCCCTGCGCGGCCACCCTGCACACAGACGGCTGTCACTCACCCCTGCCTCGGGGCTGACGGTGGCTCTGAGAAGTCGTTCTGCAAACGGTGTTGAGCACTCGCAGTCAGTTGTTTGAATTAAGATTCCTCCACTGAATACAGCACCACAGTGGCACCAGGCACATTTTCTGTCATTGTGGCGAGGACACCGGCATGGTGGCACCTGGCACCACAGCTATGGGAATCGTAAATAAGAGGATCTAGGCCAGTCTACGAGGTGTGGGTGGCCCTTGAGTGGACCCTAAGCAGAGGTGAGGTGAGCAGGTGATGGGTGGGGACCCCCAAGCAGGTGACGGGTGATGTCCCCTCTGGGGACTTCCAGGAGGGAGGGGCTGTCTGGAGGCCTGAGAACCCAAATGTCCTGAGCTTTTGGAAGCTGTGCCCGCAGCCCGGGCTCCTGCTCAGCCGGCTGGCCAGGTGCAGGTGACAACTCTGGAGGGCAGGACACTGTCCCTAAGGACTTGGTGGCAGGGACAATAGGCTGACCCTGTTCTGGAAGGTGACATCTCCCTGTCAACTGAAGTTTTTTGCCTGAGCCATGCAACTCTGCCACGGTGTCCTGTGTCAACTGCTGTCACCTGGAGGGAACGCAGGCACCCTGACACTCAGTGACAGGAGGCCGGCTTTGTGGCCAGAGAGCCATGGTGGACCCAGATGGTTTCAGGTCCTTGTCCAATGACCCCAGCAGTGTCGGTGACATTAGGGTCGGGATGGAGGGAAAACCCTGCGTCTTTACAGGAGGGGCCTGGGTGATTGGCAGCTGTTGCTGACAGGTGATTGGCAGCTGTTGCTGACAGGTGATTGTTGCTGACAGGTGATTGGCAGCTGTGGCTGACAGGTGATTGACAGCTGTGGCTGACAGGTGATTGGCAGCTGTGGCTGACAGGTGATTGACAGCTGTGGCTGACAGGTGATTGACAAGTCTGGCTGACAGGTGATTGGCAGCTGTGGCTGACAGGTAATTGACAGTCTGGCTGACAGGTGATTGGCAGCTGTGGCTGACAGGTGATTGACAGGTCTGGCTGACAGGTGATTGGCAGCTGTGGCTGACAGGTGATTGACAAGTCTGGCTGACAGGTGATTGACAGCTCTGGCTGACAGGTGATTGACAGTCTGGCTGACAGGTGATTGGCAGCTGTGGCTGACAGGTGATTGACAGGTCTGGCTGACAGGTGATTGACAGGTCTGGCTGACAGGTGATTGGCAGCTGTGGCTGACAGGTGATTGACAGCTCTGGCTGACAGGTGATTGACAAGTCTGGCTGACAGGTGATTGGCAGCTGTGGCTGACAGGTGATTGACAGGTCTGGCTGACAGGTGATTGACAGGTCTGGCTGACAGGTGATTGGCAGCTGTGGCTGACAGGTGATTGACAGCTCTGGCTGACAGGTGATTGACAAGTCTGGCTGACAGGTGATTGGCAGCTGTGGCTGACAGGTGATTGACAGGTCTGGCTGACAGGTGATTGACAGCTCTGGCTGACAGGTGATTGACAGCTCTGGCTGACAGGTGATTGACAGGTCTGGCTGACAGGTGATTGGCAGCTGTGGCTGACAGGTGATTGACAGCTCTGGCTGACAGGTGATTGGCAGCTGTGGCTGACAGGTGATTGACAGGTCTGGCTGACAGGTGATTGGCAGGTCTGGCTGACAGGTGATTGGCAGCTGTGGCTGACAGGTGATTGACAGCTCTGGCTGACAGGTGATTGGCAGCTGTGGCTGACAGGTGATTGGCAGGTCTGGCTGACAGGTGATTGACAGCTCTGGCTGACAGGTGATTGGCAGCTCTGGCTGACAGGTGATTGACAGGTCTGGCTGACAGGTGATTGGCAGCTGTGGCTGACAGGTGATTGACAGCTCTGGCTGACAGGTGATTGGCAGGTCTGACCATGTGACGTGGTTCTGCGCGGCCCTTTGTGCTGACGCTCGGTTTTCATGGATGCAAATGGTAACTGTAGGCCGGTAGGGAGGTGGTTGGAAGGCCACCTAAGGACATGGCACTGTTTTTGGAACACTGTGCCACCGACTCCCTCATCTCCCACTAGGACACCGCAGCAGGTGCTGCTGACCACGAGGGGCAGCACAGACAGTGAGGGACGGAGTTGTCATTCGGGTGACCACCTGTGCTCTGCCGTCTCAGGCGATCAGAATCGGTGTTTTTGTGTCACGTAGCCATTTAAAAAGAACGGAGAGCCTGTGACGACACGGAAGCCCAGCACGATGAGTCCTGGAGAGGAGCTGAGGTACAGGAGTTCTATGCAGCAGTGAAAAGGAATCCACAGGGCACTGAGCAGAGCAGACGCTTGCAGGAAAGTCACGTGGTGTGACCCCGGCTCCCGTTAAGCCACACACACTTGCGTATCTTCCCCCCTTGCATTTTCTTTTGGGATTCAGCAATGCCATATTGGCATGGACGCCCAGCAGGGCACAGGTGGACCCGGCGTGGGGGAAGCACAGCTCCCCGCCTTTCACGTACCCTTGTATTTTTCCACGAAAACTGTTTTATAGGGAAAAAACTCTTTGAAGAGGTGGGGAAGGGAAAGGGCACAGGAGCAGTGTCACAAAGTGACCATTTGCTGTGTGACTTTGGACAAGTCCCTTTGCCTCTCTGAGCCATGACGCTTTTGGCAATAACGTGGAGGGACAAATGCCAGCCTCGAGGGCTATTTGCAGGCTGGGGTGACACCAGGAGTGACACTGTCCTTCACAGACAGTCACCAGCTGGGCAGCGCCAGGCCTGCGTCCACCCCGGACACGAGACTCGGTTCCTAATCTCACTTCGTCCTCAAAGTCAGACGCTCGGCGGAGATGGTCCTTGTTCCCACGCACAGGGGGCGCCAGCGAGGCAGGAGCGGCCAGGGCTCCGTCCATCTGCTCTGTCTGTACCTGACCAAGGCCACCAGGGAGGGGGGACAACAGGACCTGCTGCCTGGACCAGTGACAGGCATGGGGTACCTGCTGAACAAATGCATGGATGGACTGATGGATGGATGGGCAGACAGACGTATGGATGGATGGATGGGTGGGTGGGTGGATGGATGGGTGGATGGGTGGGTGGGTGGATGGATGGGTGTGGATGGGTGGGTGGATGGATGGGTGGATGAGTGTGTTTTTGGGTGGATGAAATGGTAACTGAGCCCCTATCCAAAAAAATAACTAAAGCAAAAACAGGGCTGGCAGAGAGTCTCATGTAGCACAGTGCCTGCCCAGCAAGTTTGAGGCCCTGAGTTCAAATCCCAGTGATGTCAGAAAGAAAGAAATTAAAAGCAAGCAGCCAAGTCATGGTGCTCGGCTGACAGGTGTTCGATTCACATTCACTTTACACACTTTCAGCTTGGGTGGGTTTGTCGCCTGTGGTTCCATCATAACTTGAGGACAGCTCAGAGATGTTTTCTTGAAGACTAAATAAGTGACCATGGGCCCAAAATGCACCACGGCCCGGTCCACTGTCTCCCTGCGATTCCTCCTCGGTGCCAAGGTGACCCAGGCCCCAGCCGCCTCAGGACCCCACGCACCGCTCTGTTCTGCATCTGTGTCAGGAATCAGTCATCAAACGTGTGCTTCTTCCTAATGTCGGAGTGTGTGGTGCTGGGGTTGAACCCACGTCCTCACACGGGCGAGGCAAGCACTTTACGACTGTCCTGTGACATTTTGTCATTTTTTGAACATGTTCCCATTGAGTCAGCCTGGCCGGGAGACATGGCTTGGCAAAGTCCCTTGGCAGCTTCTTTCGTCTGCTGGGTCTCATTAGAGTGGACACACAGACAGCGGAAGCCTGTCCCCTCGGCCACCCCCTTCCTGGTCCAGGAGAGTCTGGAACCTATGGCTGTGGTAAACTGAATGCCGAGCTCCGTCCCCGCCCAAAAACCTTAAGTCTTTAGGGAAAGGAAGAAAGAAAGGGAGTTTAGGGCAAATAGGACGGAGACGAGAGCCGGACGCCATGGCTCCCGCCTGTAATCCCAGCCACTCCGGAGGCAGAGACCAGGAGGATCGCGGTTCAAAGCCAGCCTGGGCAAATAGTTCACGAGACCCCATCTCGAAAACCCTTCACTAAAAAGGGGTGGGGAGCGGCACAGGTGAAGCCCTGAGTTCAAACCCCGATCTTTTTCCTAAAGATTGACCTGGGTCCCCCCAACCATGGCCATGGCAGAGTCTGACGGAAGGTGACCGACCGCTCCATGACCCTTCACCCCCACGCTGACCGCCGTCTTTTCTCCTCTTTCCCCAGGCTCTGGTCCCGAGCTGGCCTCTGGTCCTCCAGGTCCCCACCTTCTCCCCTCCGCGGAGCTGGACAGCGGCCATCTGAGCCAAGAGAGCCCAAAGGAGGGGACACCGATGGCCGCTGTGACTCCCGCACAGTCTGGGGAAGAGCTGGACGAGCTGGCCATGCAGGGGACAGTGTCCTCTGCCCACCACGACCCCACAGAGACGGCCGGCACGGGGCTCACCCCGGCCCCGGGAAAGAGGTGGCAGCCACGGCCCCAGGCCACATCCACGGTGGCCTCCTCAGGCCCGGCCATCCCGTCCCCGTCCGTGCCGGGGGACCCGGACTCCCTGGTGTCCTTGGATCCGCTGTGGCCAGGCCCCGAGGAGGACACGGAGCCCATGACCCCTGCGCCCCTGCAGGTGGCTCCCCTCACCCCGCAGCCCTACGAGGCCCTCGTGACCCCGAGGAGGCCCGAACCCCGCGAGGCGTCCCCCGATGACCTCAGGGACAAAGCTGAGAACGAGCTGACCGGCTCGGCCTCCGAGGAGAGCCAGGAGACCACCACGTCCACCATCGTCACCACCACGGTCATCACCACCGAGCAGGCCCCAGGTGCACGTGGCCCCGCTGTGGGAGACAGGGACCCCACGGCCACAGCAAGGTCCACTTGGGGGGTTCTGCAGCCGGTCCTGGGACCTAACGAAAGTGTCCTCTCAGCCCTCTGCAGTGTGACCTTCACTGACCCCGAGGGTTTCATCGACTCCAACGACTACCCACCGCTGCCCTCGAACAACTTCCTGGAGTGCACCTACAACGTGACGGTCTACACCGGCTACGGCGTGGAGCTCCAGGTGACCAGAGGGGATTGTCTGGGTGCGGTCATTAGGTGTCATCCTGGCCGGGTTGGCTGTCTCTTTGCGCTAATCGGGGTTATTTTAGCTGGGCTTTGACGCCTGAGTAGGAGTTCGTACTCATTCCACAGAGTCCCAGGGAAGAGCAGGGAGCAGAAAGCCTGGGAGCAGACCCTGGCAGAGTGCGTGTGCTCAGTGACGTCACCGTCACTCAGCGTGCTGACCACCCTGTCCCCGCCTTCCCCAGCTAGTGGCCAGGTCTCTAAAACTCTGTGCTAAACAGGCAGAGGAGAGGCGGCTGGGGTGGGGGTTTCTCCCACCACCGTCCCACACAGCGAAGAGGGTGACACCAGGAAAGGAAGCTGGTGCCATGTGTCCCCGACCCTTCTGGGCCAGGGTTTTTGTCCCCAAGCTGGGGGTTGTGCAGCTGTGTGTGGTGAGCGTGAAGAATGATGGCACAGCGGTGTGTACACAGCAGGCGCTCAATAAATGCTGCCTAGTAGAGACAGACGTAGAGAAGTTGTCCACCTGGTGCTGCCCCCCCCCGTGTCTGAAGTCATTCAGTTATTAAGCACTTGCTGTGTACACACGAGGCAAAGTGGTCAACACGGGGACCTGGGAGGGCACTAGACTGGGCTAAGGGAGGTCACAGGTGGACACAGGACACACAGGACGCCACCCGAGCCTCCGGGGTTCTCCAGGCGAGGGCAATTTGAGTGGGGCTGTGGTGAGCGAGTAGGAGTTCACCAGAGAGAGCTGAAGGAGGAGAAGGGCTTGCAGAGGAAGCAGCAGCCCAGGTCTCTCTCTCTCTCTCTCTCTCTCTCTCTAATTTTCTCTCTCTCCCCCCTCCACCCGTCTGTGACACAATTGGGCATCTGTTTTCTTTCTGCTCTGACTCAGCCCCTGGCGTCCCCTATGTCCAGCCATGCGGTGTCACTCTGTCCCCGGGTCTCGGGGTCCCGGGGGTGGTGCTGACTGGGGCCTGGATCGTGGACGGGAAGGGTCGGGGGCCACAGTGGCCCCTCGGCCCCCTCTCAAACCCTGCCCGGCGTCCGTCTGTCCCTGTGTCCCTGTGTCCATCCGTCCGTCCGCGCACAGGTGAAGAGCGTGAACCTGTCGGACGGGGAGCTGCTGTCCATCCGCGGCGTGGACGGTGCCGCACTGGCCGTGCTTGCCAACCAGACGCTGCTGGTGGAGGGGCAGGTGGTGCGGAGTCACACGAACGCGGTGTCCGTCCTCTTCCGCGGCCTCGCCGACGGCCCGGGGACCTTCCAGCTGCACTACCAGGGTGAGGCGTCCATTCCTCCCCTCCATCCCCGTCCACCCCGCCGTCCCTCCCCGTCCCCCACTGTCCCCCACTTTCCCCCCACCGTCCCCCCCGTCCCCTCCCCATCCCACACACCGTCCCCTCCCCGTCCCCCCCACCGTCCCCTCCCCCGTCCTCTCCCTGTCCCCTCCCGCCGTCCCCTCCCCCGTCCCCCCGCCATCCCCTCCCCCGTCCCTCCCACCATCCCCTCCCCGTCCCCTCCCATCCCCCACACCGTTCCCTCCCCATCCCCACATCGTCCCCTCCCCGTCCCCCCACTGCCCCCCCACCGTCCCCTCCCCGTCCCCTCCCCGTGCCCCCACCATCCCCTCCAATGTCCCCCCACTTCCCCCACCTTCCCCTCCCCGTCCCTTCCCGTGCCCCCAATGTCCCCTCCCCCATCCCCCCAACGTCCCTCCCCCTTCCCCACCGTCCCTCCCTATCCCCTCCCCTGTCCCCCACACCGTCCCCTCCCCTGTCCCCCCACCATCCCCTCCCCTGCCCCTCCCCCGTTCCCCCAACTCCCCTCCCCGTCCCCCCCACCGTCCCCTCCCCCGTCCCCTCCCCGTCCCCTCCCCTGTCCCCCTGCGTCCTCTCCCCCGTGTCCCGCTGTCCCAGCTCCCTGGCCCTGGTCCGATGTCCCGCTGGGGGCCGTCTGACCTGGGGCTTCCGGAGTGAGCAGGGACCTTGGTGCACTTGTCACCAGCATGAGGGAAAGTGACCGCTGACCCAGGACCTTGGCTTCGCCCCCCCTTGGGTGACCCGGTGTCCCTGCTGTGGGAGAGGGGACGCCAGAGTCAGGGAGGACTGAACTCATTCTCCCCCCAAAACTGCTGTCCCTGGCTGGGCAGGGTGGGGGATATGGAGCCCTGGGAAGGAGCCACTGTGGTCACTTTGTCACCCAGGCGTCCCCCAGAGCCCCCGGGTCCCCAGGCCTCAGCTGTTCTGCACAGCGCAAAGTGGCTGCCAGGGTGTGGGTCACAGCAGCGTCCCCACCCACAGGGTGACACCACCTCTCCCTCCCCAGCTTTCATGCTCAGCTGCAGCTTCCCCCGCCGGCCGGACTCCGGGGACGTCACGGTGCTGGACCTGCACGCGGGCGGGGTGGCCCATTTCCATTGCCACCTCGGCTACGAGCTGCAGGGCGCCAGGACCCTGACCTGCATCAACGCCTCCCGGCCCCACTGGAGCAGCCAGGAGCCGGCCTGCTCAGGTGCCGGCCACAAGGGGGACGAGGGCCGGAGGGGGACACTGGCCAGGAGGGGATATGGGCCAGGAGGGGACGTGGGCCAGGAGTGGACATGGGCCAGGAGGTGGATGAAGGCCAGGAGGGGACATGAGCCAGGAGGGGGACAGGGACAGATGGGGGACAGGGACAGGAGGGGGACAAAGGCCAGGAGGAGGACATGGGCCAGGAGAGGGATGAGGGCTGGAGGGGGACATGGTCCAGGAGGGGGACAGGGACAGGAGGGGGACATGGGCCAGGAAGGGACGCGGGCCATGAGTGGGACAAGGGCCAGGGGACACTGGCCAGGAGGGACACTGGCCAGGAGAGGGCTCCCCTTCCCGTCTGCCATCCCCTCACGGCCGCCCGCCCGCTCTCTGTCCACAGCCCCCTGTGGAGGAGCAGTGGTCAACGCCACCATCGGCCGTGTCCTGTCTCCCAGCTTCCCGGCAGACGCCAACGGCAGCCAGCTGTGCGTCTGGAGCATCGAGGCCCCCGAGGGGCAGCGGCTGCACCTGCACTTTGAGAGGCTGGCGCTGCAGGGCACAGACAGGTGAGGCTCCGTAGCCCCCGGACCTCCGGCCCCCAGATGGGGCCAGGGCCAAAAGCCAGGGAATCCCAGAAAGAACCAGCTGAGGACCGGGACAGAACACATCTGGGGACCGTCAGCTCCCAGCTCCTCCTCCACCCATGTGGAAACTGAGGCACACAGTGGGCCAGGAACCTGTAGCAGGCTGGCGGAGGAGGCTTGGGGAGGGTGGGAGGGAGGCTGGGGTGGAGGCTGGGGAACGGAGGCTGGGGTGGAGGTTGGGGAATGGAGGCTGGGGTGGAGGCTGGTGGAGGCAGGGAGGCTGGGGAATGGAGGCTGGGGTGGAGGCTGGAGGAGGCAGGGAGCCTGGGACAGAGGGTGGGGAATGGAGGCCCCACACTGCTCTGCTCATTCTTTCTCTTGCGGTCCCTTCCCATGGCTTACCAGGGACAGGGCATTTGCTGAGCCCCTGCCCTGCCTGGCCACAGATGGGCTCTGGGGACAGGGGACGGTGGGGATGGAAGCTGTCTCGGGTGGAGACCCATTGGAAGGAGACATGGTGACAAGGACACGGGACGTGGTCTGTGTGGTCCCACTGGGCACGGGGGAGCGCAGCTGGCTTACTGAGCAGCTGGTCACCGGGACCCTCTGGGGACGTCAGAGCGAGGAAGAGCGAGGAGCAGTGGCGTTTGTTCTCAGACAGGGACGCTCTTGGTCACCACCTGCCATGCCCTGAGCAGAGGCCAACAGGACACGGAGGGCAACACGCCCAGGGTGCTTGGGACCGGACGCTCGGGCCTTGGATCCTCCCGTCCTGCTTTGGGCCTGGACTCCAGGTGCTTCCGGTGCAACAGTGTCACAGAGAACACCAGACAGCCGAGGGCATCCATCCCCAAGCCCTCGTCCTTCCAGGCCAAGTCCAGTTGCTCATTGTGACCGGTCACCGCTTCAGAGAGGACGGTGTAGACGACCGGCTCGCACGCAGGGTTCTCTGTAGCGTCAGAATGAACCAGATCCAGGGCCGGGCACCGCGGCTCACACCTGCAATCCCAGCTACCCGGGAGGATGGAGGCCAGGAGGATGGAGGCCAGGAGGATGGAGGCCGAGTGAGAAGTTAGCGAGGCCCAATCCCCATCTGGCCGTCCCTGTGGTCAGAGTCCAAGGTCATCCCCGGGCCCCAATCTGAAAAGAAAGAAAAGTAACTTAAAATAACTAAGAGCAGCTGAAGCGAAAACGGCGGGGGCGGCTGAGGTCGCAGCTCGTGGCAGGCGTGGGGCCCTGAGTTCAAATTCACGGAAAAGATCAAAGAACGCATCTGTGCCGCGCTCTTCACGGGGGAAAATGGCTGAAATGCCGTGACCCCGGCGAGAAATGGCGCTGAGCTCCCGCAAAGGCGCCGACAAGTCCCGCAGAGCAACGAGCAGCACGGAGTCGATCGGAAGGAAGTGACCCCAAAGTCACTTTTGCCGCGAGGACTGGGTCATCTTCTGGCAGGAAGAGCTGGGGTTTCCGCCAGAGGGGCCTGGATTCTGAGCGAGGAGCCCCAGCGCTGGCACCAAGAAGAAACCGGTTAAAGGAGAGGAAAGGTTCGTGCAGGACGCAGGACACAGGCCCGGCCCCTTGGGGTCCCAAGTGTGACGTCCACAGCCTGGCCGCCTTGTCCCAGGACGTCCCCGCTCTGATGGACACGTGACTGACCCTGCATGGCGGAGGGAGCAGAGGCACAGAGAGGTGACTGAGGTCACCCAAAGTCACACAGCCGGGAAGTCCCAGGCCAGCGGGCCAGTGTCCACCATGTCAGCCACGGTCACCGCCAGCTACCCTAGCTTCTCAGTTCTGTCTGTCCACCCAGCCACATCCTCTGATGCCCTGTGTGTCCTCTCCCCCCGCCCCGGAACCCAGGACACGCGTCTGCAGAGGAAGCGGTTGACGGCAGAGCCAGGGTCACTCGGGGACCTGGGTGACGGTCACCGCCGCCCTCCCTGAGTGTCCGTCCTCTCTCCTGCAGGATGGTCATCTACAGCGGGCTGACCAACAAGTCGGCCGTGCTCTACGACTCGCTGCACAGCGACAGTGTCCCCTTCGAGGGGCTGCTGAGTGACCACAGCAGCCTCCGCATTGAGTTCATGGCCAGCCAGGGCCCGGCGGCCTCTGTCTTCCATGTCCGCTTTGAGGGTGAGGCTGGCGGTCGCCTCGTCACGGGGTGGCAGCTGGGAGAGGGACACAGCAGCGGCCGAGCGCAAACGGCTCGTGGCTCGGTCCTCAGGGGGGCTCAGGGTGCAGCCAGGGGGACAGAGGTCAGAGTTTCACTCAACAAACGCCAGCCACCCCTGCCGAGCGCCCACCGTGAAGCAGACCTGCTAGTGTCTGGGTTTTAGGGGGGGCAGATGGGGTGCGTCCCCGAGGCCACTCATGGTGACAATTTCATGTAATCTCTGCCCAGCGCCAAGTCCCCCGGGCCCAGCTCTCGGCCGAGCGACGTCCTGCGTCCCTCTGTCCTGCGTCCTTCTGCACAGCCTGGCCGTTCTGGCCCTGGGGACTTTCTGAGCTGGCTTCCCAAGGACAGGTGGCCCCTCGCCCCGACTTTATCAGACTCAGAGACGGATCTGGGTGACGGGGTGGCGGTGCGAGGCCCAGCGCGGCGGGAACGCCTGTAATCCCGCCGCGCTCCCCGGCTGCCTTTCACTCCCGGTCCCCCACCTCTGTCCCCAGCCTTCGAGAAGGGTCACTGCTACGAGCCCTACATCCAGAACGGGAACTTCAGCACCTCCGACCCCACCTACAACATCGGGGCCGTGGTGGAGTTCACCTGTGACCCCGGGCACTCCCTGGAGCAGGGCCCCGCCATCATCCAGTGCGTCAACGTGCGCGACCCCTACTGGAACGACACCGAGCCGCTGTGCCGAGGTCAGGCCCGCCCACCTTCGCGACCACGCCCACCCGTAGCCACGCCCGCCGCCGCCACGCCCACACGTCCATGGCCACGCCCGTCCCCGTTGCCACACCCACAGATCCCACCCAAGGCCTGCCCATTGCACTAACCCCAGCCCCCCATGGCCACGCCCACTTTCAGCTGAGGCCCCGCCCACTAAGCTCTCATAGCACCGCAAACCCATGGCTCCACCCACGGACACGCCCACCTACCCCGTCCAAGACCCACCCATCGCTCCAACCACAGCCCTGCCCACAGCAGCCCACAACACTGGCTGTGGGCCCCGCCCACAGCACCACCAACGATGGCCCCGCCCACACCGTCACTGCCTGCCCGTGGCCCCGCCCACACCAGCGCTCCACCCACGGTACCTCCCATAGCCATGCCCACAATGCTATCTCGGCCCCGCCCACAGCCCTGCATGACGTCACTCCCACCCATGATGTCACAGCTCACCCAGCAGCACAGGCAGCCCTGACTCTCGCGTGACAATTACTCTGGTGACAAGCTGAGGGTGACCGGCAGAGACTGGAGGGGACCCAGATCTCTCTTCTTGGGGACCTGCGCTGGGAGTCACTGGGGACAAGGCTGGCTGTGTGGTGGCCTCACAGGCCCCCAGTGGGCTTGGCTGCCACGGTCCCCATGGCAAGTGACCGAGTGACCATCGTCCTCTGTCCAGGGCGGAGCCGCAGGGCTTGGAGATCCTTCCTGGTCCTGGAAGAGCTGCACACCCGTAAACTCGTCACTAAAGACTGGGCGGTTGCTGTGGTCAGATAGTCACTCTACACAAGTGCACTGACCCCAAGGGGACACAGGGGGCCCGGGGCTGTCTGACTTGATCACCCCACACTCCTAACCGCTCTGTCCTATTGGCTTTCCCACAAAGTCTGTCTGTCTGTCCTCCACAGCCATGTGTGGCGGGGAGCTGTCTGCTGCGGCCGGGTGGTCCTGTCCCCAAACTGGCCGGAGCCCTACGTGGAGGGGGAGGACTGCGTGTGGAGGATCCACGTGGGGGAGGACAAGCGGGTCTTCCTGGACGTCCAGTTGTGAGTGTCCTGAGTGTCCGTGGGGGACCCCACCCTGCATTAGTTAGGCACCTACTGCATGCAGGGGCCCTGGGGTCTCCCTGGTGACATGCAGGGGCCCCAGGTTCAGGGAACCAGTGTCACACACTGTCCCCCCGTGACGCTGCCAAGCGGGGAGATGACGTAGAAAGGAAGAAAGCTTGGGGTCCCCGGGGGTCCCACGCAGAACCCCGGCCGCGGCTCGGTGCGAGCAGACGTGCAAAGGCCCTGGGGCGGCCGCACGTCTCGCTGTCAAAGGCCCCGCTGGAGGGGAAGGGGACAGTGTCCTGTGTCCCTCTGTCCTGGCCGTCTCCCTTGGCCGGGCCCTGGACTGACCTCTGTCCACCTAGTACACAGTAGGTGCCCAACACCTGACGGACGGTGAAGGGTGCTGGTGGTGGACCTGCCCATCTGCGTCTGTCTGTCCGTCCCCTGGACTCACAGGGTGACCTTGGGGTGGTGCATCCAGTACAGCCCTCCCCGCCCCAGGCTGGTGGCCCTCGGGGGACAGGGCCACATTCAAGGGTGACCGCCACCAGGGTCTGAGGGAAAAGACCCCGGCCGCGAGTGTGGACAGGGAGAGGGGACGGTCAGCGCACCGTCCGTCACCGCTGAGAAACGGTGGCCAACACGACAGGTGACCGCTGACGTGGACGGTCGCCGGCCTCACGTCGCCTGGCGCCCCAGGAACGGAGGGACTCGCGGTGACCACAGGACATGGCCACGTGGCGTGCGGGTGACGTCCCCAAGTTTGCTGTACACCTTGAAGCGAGAGCGAGAGACCACGTCACCCCCGGCAGGTGGCCAGGCCCCCGCGTCACTGTCACCAAGGACTGGCGTTTGCCGTCGCGGTGGACTGTCCCCTCCACCGGCAAATCTGCAGCCGCAGCCCCACCTGTGAGCGGTCAGCGCCGAGGCCCGGCTGTGCCTCCTGACAGGGGTTGTCACCTGTTCTCCCTTCTCTCTGTCCCCACAGCCTGAACCTGAGCAACAGTGACATCCTGACCGTCTACGACGGGGACGAGGTCACGCCCCACATCCTGGGCCAGTACCTGGGCAGCAGCGGTCCTCAGAAGCTCTACTCGTCCTCACCAGAGCTCACCATCCAGTTCCACTCTGACCCGGCCGGCCTCATCTTCGGGAAGGGCCAGGGTTTCATCATGAACTACGTGGGTAGGTGGCCCCGGCCGTCTGTCCTGTCCCTCTGTCCCTTCTGTCCTGTCTGTGTGTCCGTCCTTCTGTGTTTCCTGTACTGATTTCCGACTGAGGGTCAGGGTTGGCTGAGTGAATATTTGACAGCTGGGCCTGGTCAGAAGGACCAGGTGTGAGCGCCCGTGTGACCACCCAGGGCTGTGTGACCGGGCCTCTGTGAGCTTCCTGGGGACACTGACAGCTGCCCCACACGGTGGACCTGGGGTCCAGCAGACGGTGGGACAGGCTGCATTGTGGCCGGCAGAGGTTTCCCGGCGGCATCTGCAGTTTCTGGAAGCTCGGATGTCCGCCACGGGCCCGGTCATCGCCCGCAGTGGCCACGTGGACCCACCCGCCACGCACATCAGGACCCAGGGACGCCCGTGTCTCCCTGGCCCTCCTGAGGCTGCAGAAAACCACGCTGGCCGAGCACCGGGCGCCCCCTGTAATCCCTGCTGCTCGGAGGCCGCGAGCAGGAGGACCGCAGGGATTTGAACTCGGGACCTCGGGCGCTCTGCCACCCGAGCCACGGCCTCAGCTGTTCTTTGTTTTTCGGGTCGGGTCGCACAGGTTCGGCCAGGCTGGCTGGGATTAAGGCGTCCACCACCAGCTCGGCCTCGTTCCCGGTCTTTGGGGCTTTAAATTGGCCACCTGGATGGGGCCCCAAGCTGGCGGCCGGCTTTCACCCTTGCCGGCTCCGTGTCCACTCGTGACTTTCCTGAGTCGCCCCTGTGGGACACACAGGGGATGGCGGTCCCCGCAGCTGTCCAGACGAGGCACCCTGGACGGTTGTCCAGGTCTGTCCCTGAGGCTCCCCCGACCCCAGCCGGAAGACGGGGTCAGAGCCCGGCTCGGTGACTCCCACGGTGCCGAGCCAACCGTCCACCCGTCCACGAGTGACCTCGGCTGGGCGCAGAGCTCAGGCTCCGTCCGAGACTGAGGCAGAGGTCTGCGGAGGAGTGTTTGCTGACTGACCTTGAGGCTGGGGTTTGTTGAACGCACACAGAGCGTCAGGTGACCTCATCGTCCTCCAGAGCATGCTCACAGGGGTCAGCTGCCATCTCCGTGTGCCGCAGGTCCCGGAGCGGCAGGGGACCCCGCTGAGGTCAAGGTCACTGGTCCCTGCCCAGTGCTGGACTCAGGACAGTAGAGATGGCTTCCGGGACGGACCGCGTCCCTGAGATCCGGGTCACAGCGGCCAGCGTCCTGTCAACACCAGTCCACGACAGTGGCCTCAAGCTGGAGGCCTCAGCTGGACCCAAGAGGGGACTGTGACTGACGGCGACGCCCGCGGTGGACAGAACGGGGCGCGCTGTCCCCGGAAGGCGGAATCTTGACCGTGAGCCCGATGACGGCTGGCGCAGGTCCCCAGAGCCTCTGGACGCACAGGGGAAGGACAGGCGTCCATGTCACCCCCTGGGGCAGAAGGGGACGTGACCCCTGACCCCGCTGGACAGATGAGGACAGGTGAACTTGGGGAAGTCACAGAGCTGCTGAGGAAAGAGAGGAAGGACGGACAGAAGGACGGACGGAAGGACGGACAGAGACAAAAAGCTCCTCCCCGGCCAGCGTCGTCCCCCCGTCCATGGGGTCACAAGGCCACTCGAGGCACGCGGGGACCTGAGACTGCTGGCCCCAAGGTCACCAGGATTTTGGGCCACCGCCCTGCTGCCTGGCGGCCACAGCTAACAGAACAGCAAAGTCCAATGGCCCAGGGGTCACAGGGGTCAGGAGCGGCACCCTGGCTCTCACCGGGAAGCCATGACCTCGTTGCCGTCCCCCGAGTCCCGTCCCCCACAGCTGTGTCCCCAACCAAATGGCTAAAGTCATCCCCGCCCCACTGCGATCCTACAGGCCACTTCCGTCCACTCCGAGTGGCGGACACCCGTGAGATGGCCTTCCTTCCCCCAAATAAACGCAGGAGGACATCGGGCAGACGCCATCGTCGCCTCTGAAATGACTTCCCAGCCCCAAGTCACTTGCACGACACTGTTAGCTGTCGTCCCCGACCCCCTGTGACACAGGACGGAAGTGGTGCCTTCGATGGCCGCCGAGGGTTGGCAGGAGGAAGCAGGGTCCCCCAGAGGATGGCCGGGGTCACGGGGCCTGGACAGCAGTGTCTGGGGCCGGACCGGTGTCACGGGTGACTTGCCGTCATTGTAAGCAAGACACATTCGTCTTAACGCATATTCAGTCATCAAACGTGTGGATTCACAGAGAGTCTGAGGATGACCCCAGTGCGAGGTTAGAGCCGGGGTCGGGGACAGGCGTCCCTCGGCTCGGTGGCTCTGTCTTGGGGTCACTCACGGGGGCTCCTGTCACCTCAAGTCTTTGTGCGGCTCGGGAGACCCGCTTTCAAACGGCTGGCTGAGCTGCAGAGAGGACAAGGGACAGTGCCCATGTCCCTGGGTGGCTCGGCCAGGGCTCTGGGTGACACCCAACCCTGAACTACTTTTGTAAAACCAGGAGAAAATGCAGCAAGGCCAGTGTCCCCCCCCAGGGACAGGTCATCTATGGCAGGTTTGACTTTGGTGGGACCGGGATTTGAACTCAGGGCTTTGCACTCGCTCCTCCGTCCGTTTTGCTCTGGTTGCTTTGGAGATGGGGTCTGGAGAACCGTTTACCAGTCCGGCCTCCAGCCTCGATCCTCCCCTTCCCAGCCTCCCGCGAGGCAGGGATTACAGGCGCGCTCACCGAGCCCGGCTCATGAGGGTCTCGTTTCTGTTTTAAGAGGTGTCGAGGAATGACTCCTGCCCGGACCTGCCCGAGATCCAGAACGGCTGGAAAACGACCTCGCACGCGGAGCTGGCCAGGGGCACGCGGATCACTTACCAGTGTGACCCCGGCTACGACATCGTGGGCAGCGACACCCTCACCTGCCAGTGGGACCTCAGCTGGAGCAGTGACCCCCCGTTCTGCGAGAAGAGTAAGCGGGGCCCTGTGTCCTCCCCCGCCCCGGCCCCGGCCCCGGCCCCGGCCCTGACCCCGACCCCGACCCCGCCCGGCGGAGACCTGGGGTGACTGCGCGGTGGACAGCGGGGCGGGCCGGGAACTGCGGTGAGCGCAGCCGTGCGCGGCCGGGGTCAAGCCGGCTCTCAGATTTGGGGCTTTGGGTCTATGTTGGTCCTTGGAGCCCTCGTTCTATACCCTGGCCGTGGCTGATGGGTCCTGGGGGGGATTCCACGCTGTGGGGTTTAGATCTGTCCGTCTGTCTAGCATGACGGACCTTCCGTTCCTTTTTAACGGGTGTATAGTTTTCCCTTCCGTCTCCGCCGATTTCCTAACTTAAAAAGTGACGGGCGCCTGTCTCACCGCTCGGGTTGCACCAAGAAACCGGGGCGTCCCCTCCCCACACCCCGGCTTTCTCCTGTCCCGGCCCCCGGGCTCCAGCCGCTCCCCGCCCTCTCCGTCCCCCCACTCCGTCCTTTGTCCTTCGGCGAGCGAGGCGTCCCCAGGCCTTGTCCGCTGCCCGTCCCCCGTGGGCGGGGCGCTTTCTCACGCGCGCTGGGCCCGGCCCAACCCCGCTGTCCGTCCCCCAGTCATGTACTGCAGCGACCCGGGCGAGGTGGCGCACTCCACGCGCCTCATCTCCGACCCCGTGCTGCTGGTGGGCACCACCATCCAGTACTCCTGCAATCCCGGCTTCGTGCTGGAGGGCAGCTCCCTGCTGACCTGCTACAGCCGCGAGACGGGGACCCCCATCTGGACGTCGCGCCTGCCGCTCTGCGTCCGTGAGTCCGGGGAAAGGACGGGGCCCCGAGGGACCAACGGGGAGCTCTGGCCGGCAGAACCCGCGTCGGCCTCGAGTCTCCGCGATCACAAAAAGGCCGAGAGCCGGGCGAGCCGCGCACGCCCGTAATTCCGGCCGCAGGGAGGCCGAGGCGGGAGGACGGGGAGGCCGGGGCCAGCCTGGGCTGCACACGAGACCCTGTCCAACGATAGCCGGGGCAGATGGACTCAGGGGTCCCTGAGGGGCAGAGCCCGTGGCCCATGCCCATAACCCCGGCCACAGAGAGGCCAAGATCAGGAGGATCAGGGTTCAAGGCCAGTCCAGGTAGATCCTTCAGGTGACCCCATCCCCAAAGCCACCAGAGCAAGGTGGACGGAGGGGTCGAGCGCCTGCCCGGCGAGCGAAAGGCCCTGAGTTCAAATCCCACTACTGCCCAAAAAAACCCGAACAGTAATTGAGCAAAAGCGGGGGTCTGTGTGCCACTTTCACCAGAACGGCTCGGCGGCCACAGGACCGGGGGACCGGCTGTGACCACTGCTGACCCTTTTCCACTGGGCAAGGTGACACTCATTAGACACCTGCTGCATACCAGGCCCACGGCTCCTCTGTCCCTGTGGCTTCTGGGGGGGACGAGAGCGAGGTCACCGTCACCCCAGTCCCTCCACCTGGCTGTGGATGGGGAAGTGGGGGTCCCGTCCACGCTGTCACCTCGCGGCCCCCGGTGACATCACCGCGTGACTTCTTCCTGCCCCCCACGGCGGGCGTCGGAGGACACCGGGCAGCCTGACCACGGCGGAGCACAGGACATGTTCTGGCTGACCGCGAGGGACATCTGGACTCACCGGTCCTTGTCACTGTCCGGCACACTGGACCCACGGAGGCCGCAAGACTCGATCTCAGGACCCTGGTCTCCAAGTGCCTCCCGGCCATCGCTGGCCCTGGTGCCGGAGCTCACGGGGACATCAGGGGACCCTGACCTGTGGCCCCTGCCGCTGGCCACACCCGGCCCTTCCCGTCCCCAGCCCTGGGCCTGCGTCTACACGGAAGCGGAGCCGAAGTCCGTGTCCCCTGACAGCGCTGGCACTTGTCCCCAGCCTCCCCCAACCCTGCTGGGCAGCCTGGGGCAAGGACCCTGTCCTGCCTGGGCTCCGGAGTGACACGGCTGGCCGCCAGGCTGCTGCTGTGACAAACGCCGTTAATTGGATCGACTTACAAAAGAGAAAAGTTTCACGTGTCCCGATGACGTCATCCCAATCCCCGAGGCCCCACCCCTTAAAGGGCCGCAGCGCCCAGGAGCAGCTTTCCATTTAGATGGGTCACAAACGCCTGACCCTGAACCGCCATCCTCCTGACCTCTGCCGGGAGCCACCGCACCCGGGCTGTCATTTTTGAGGAAGGACGGTGTCCACTGTCCAGATGTGGATGCCACCTTCCCGCCTTTTGGCAAAAAGCCGCAGGACTGTCCCCCTGTCCTGCTGAGGTGGGGAGTGACCTGAAGCCCGCTGCGCACGAGGGTCCCGTGGGTGTCACCATGGCTTTAGTGTCACAGCCGTCCTGGAAGTGCAAGCCTGGGCTTGCAGGGGCTCTGGAGCTGGACCTTGGAGCCACCTCCTCAGGAAGCCCTCCTGACTGCCGACCCCGCAGGTTCGCCGTGACCTGTCTTGTGCTGGCGCCCTTGTTCCCCTGCTAGGACGGGGCCCA